CCGTTCACCGGCTACCAAGGCCGCCCGGCCTCCGCGTAGCCCAGGCCCGGCGGGGGAGGCGCCGAGTGGCATATCGCGGACGCCCGCCCGCCCCGCGCCGCCGCTCACGCGCCGCCCCCTCGGCCCCCCTGCCCGGCCGCGGCAGCCATGGCCGCGCGCCTCCGCTGGCTTGCTCGCTCCCGGCCCGCCTGCCGCCGGGTAAAGTCTTAGGTTCACAGAACGAAGCCTGGCTTGGTAGGGAGTTTTTCGTTGGTGCGCTCGGTGCAGCTTTTCCGTCTTTTTCAATTTAGGACTCAGGATGGGTCGCTCCCGAACCGTGCTCCGGGTGCCACTCTCTGGGCCTCCCTTCCCCAAGCAACTCCACTCCGGACTAAGTCTCTTGAGTGTGTTCTTCCATCCCAGGGAAATTGTGCGTCTGGAAACCAGGGGCCCTACAATGAACTGGGGTTGAGATGGACAGTTCACCAGCGCACGTTCTGGGGTGGGGCGACTCTTTGGATGGTCGCCTCTCAAGGGCACTGTCGTCGGAGGCCACACTGTAGGGTAGAGAGTCTCATATACAAACTTATTTAATCAACACATAATTACCGTTTTTGTTTGAGACTGGATCTCCTGTAGCTCTAGCTGGCCTCGAATTTACTATGTAGCCAAGGATGACCTTGAACTCCAGATCCTCCAGCTTAGGCCACCCAAGTGATAGAACGAACTAAAGGCTTGCACCACTATGCCCCGCACATATATTTATCGAATGCTAAGTATTTGCTCACCGCGGGACTGAATATTCCTGCCCTCGGGGAGCTTCTAGACACTAAAGGTCTAGGTCCCCGTTGAGCTTCTCAGCTTCCTCCAAGTCCCACCACCTGATCTCCCGGAGACCCCAAACTCCACCTCCCGCAGTTTGGCGCGCCTGGAGACCCATGAGAATTGGAGATTGCAACCTCGAGGCGATCGCTAAACTACAATCCCGCTTGACTTCAGGGCATTCACGACCGCACTCCAGGGGATTAAAGTCCCCGAAATTGGGTCTGACCTCGTTGGGGAGCAGGAAGCCCAAATACTACACACACAAGCACGCGCGCGCCTGGTATAGGCCGTGGGTATGAAGTCTGACCTCCCCCTCCTTTCTACTTTGTAACTTGGGGGGACCGGGACGGCGCCCCAGCAGGGACCAAAGGTCAAATCCCCTCCCAGCGGGAGGTTGAGTGTCTGCGGGAAGAAGGCTGCCCCGGGGGCTTCAGCCGCACTTCAAAGACCTCTCCGCCGGGAACGCTTCCTGAGGGGGAGGGGCAGAGAGAGGAGAGGGGAAGGAGGGCAGGGTACTGAGGGTGGAGGGGGCCGCTTCCCCTTCAGTGCACTGCCCCAAGGCCGACTCTTCCGCCGGGTCCGCCTCCTTTTCACCAGCACCTGTTCAACCGGAACATCAAGGGGCAAGGGCCCGCTGCTCCCCCCTCCGTGTCTCTTTAGTACCTTTCATCCCGGAAGGGGGGTGAATCCCCGCCCAGGATGGGGGAGCCGGGCGGGGGAGAACTTGTCCTTGACCTGGTCTGTGGCATCGGGGATTTACTCCCTTAATCCGAGTCCGGGCGGGAGCCTGGGGACGTCTGCAAAACTGAATTCTGAGCTGCAACCTCCGACTCTGTTCCATCTTGCGTGGACCCTGGGAGGACTGGGCGAACGTGGGGCAGCCTGGCTTGCGGCTTCTGAGGCAGGGAATGGTCGAGGGCCGGGATCCTGGCTAGGAATGTTCTGTGGGCGTTTCTTGCTCTGGTTTGTGAGCATTGCTCACACGGTAAATTAAGACTCAGTGAAGAAAAACTTGGAGTTTCTAACGAATTACTTTTTCTACACCAGGAATAAAATTGCAAAACAATTTTAGCGCGATTGTAGCATGAAAATGTCAACTCCAACCATGGGCTAATTTCAAATGATCGGAGTACTTGCTTTTGGAACCCTTCATTGTCGAGGTGGCCGCAGTTTCGGGTTTCGCCAGACAGGGGTTATGCCAGGGATGGGTGATCTGGGCAGGGGACGGAAAGCCTCTGCCTAGAGTCGGGCTAGTGTCCAGAGTGCCTCCAAAGCCTGAGGGATGGCTGGGAGACATTTATGCGCTTAATGTTTTAGGATCCTAGGTTCGTTCTCAATCACTTAGGTAGGTGGGTGGGTGGGCGGACAGTGCAACCGAGTTCGCCATGGGTTAAGTAGCGTGTTTATAGGCACTCGGCCTGAAAGCTGCCGAGCCAGAGTTTGAACCCAGTCTTGTCCTGGGCTAGGACTTTGACACCACGTGTCCTGCCTGTGCAAACTGGGATGCCGGCCTCTCCTCCACGCGTATTCCTATCGAGGTTCGCGTCCGCTATCCCGGGGAACCCGCTGCAGGCTGCGCTGAGTTCGCAGCGGGTACCCGGAGCAGAGCTGTCCGGCTCCTACGTTAGCTTCCATCATTTTCCTGAATGTCCAGTATGTGCCGATCTACAAAAACCAAGCCAGAGCAGGTCTTGACCAACAAATGGTTCAAGTTCATCCTGCTCTTGGTGGAGTGACTGATAACTGACTTGAGGTGTCACACACATTCTGGCCGTGCAACTTTAGATGAGCGAATTCAACTCTCTGGGATGGGGAGTTACCCTGCGGCGGGGACCCAAAGCACTTTGGAAAAGAGCTAAGGCACACAGTGGGTGCTCGATCCAGCTGCAGCACTCTTTCGGTCCCGCGAAGCGCCCCAGGCGGGCTACACTTTCCGGCTCCCGCATCTCCGCCCGCCTTGCGGGACGCGGCAAAGGGACTGGGGCCGA